GTTTATTCTGTTCATATGTCTAAAATAAATTACTTTATTTTGAGAAATCTGACCAGGTCACAAGTTTTCATTTTTTCACTTCATGATCAGAGGGGTATTTCATTATTTCCTGATTTCATTTTGCAAGATCTTGCTGGATTATTTTGTGAAGGTTAGGCTGGTCCTAATTTCATAGGGTAATTCACTACATAATGGTGGAGAATGCGGGCAAAAATGCTAATCTGATTAATGAGATATGAATCTGATTATGAATATGAAAAATTAATTATTAATTTTCCACATTGGCATGAGGTTTTTTTTAAGAGAAAAACGGCTTTGCTGAGTGTTCAGAATACAGTACCAGGAACTGCAGACTTGGTCCTGTTAAAAATCTGTTTATCTTGGTAAAAGTGCGTTTGGAAATCTGTGTTGGATCCGCCGCRGTCCAGGTCCGGTTCTGTGAGACTGTCTCGCCGCTGAGCAGACAGGTTCGGTTGTTGCTGAGAGCTGCGCCGTCAGCTCTAAGGAAGCAGTGACTGTATTTCGCTTGAGAAGCGATATTGCATGCATTGTGCTCATATCTGTGTGAATGAGTAAAAAGGGTCCCTTTGTAAATCCAGTGTGTTCATACCGTGAGGTTTTGGACCGTAAGCCTGGTCTGGATACGTGYGTAATTTACGCGTAAGTGTAACCAGTTAAACTCCATGACAGGCTTTCTGAGGTCGCGACTCAGAAGCCTTCAACACGGTTTATAAATAAACATACGTGTAGGGAGTTATCAGCGCCGTCAGAGGCTAAGAAACTGTGTGTTTTGTGCCGAGGCGTTATTCAGACAAGAGAGTCTGTCCACACTGCTGTGTGCTGTGTGGTGCGCTGTTAGCGCTAATCAGGGAAGCTAGCTGTTTATTCAGTCTAAATCTGCTGCGCGCAGAAAGTGTCTTGCCCTGTTTCCGTGAGAGAGTCATGGATTTTAGCTTATAAAACGTGTGCCTTGCTTTGGGTTACGTGGAGCTAATAAAAAATTACGCTGGTGAGCGTAAAGACGGAGGTTTGGCTCCGTGTTGGCTAAGCTGCTGGTTTCTGTGTCCGAGTGCAGCCGCCATCTTGTGTCAGAGCACAACGTAGCGTCACGACGTCATTACGTCACGACGTAACTACGTCACGACGTAACTACGTCACTGGACGTGATTTCTCCCCGAGGAGGGGTGAAACGTCACGGGTTCTCTTCAGAGCTGTGTGTTGTGTGATAGAGTCGACATCTGCTGGGTTTTTGCTGTAATTACACCCTCTTAGAAGGTGAAATTGTTCAATCTGCTCATAAAAACGGAGAATTTAGCTCAAAATTAGGCGAAAAATAGCATTTTCTTGCTCAGAAAAATTAC